CTAACATCCTAATCATTGGTCACTAACATCCTAATCATTGGTCACTTACATCCTAATCATTGGCTACTTACATCCTAATCATTGGTCATTGGCACCCTTACATCCTAATCATTGGTCACTAACCATTGGTCACTAACATCCTATTCATTGGTCACTAACATCCTAATCAATGGTCACTAACATCCTAATCATTGGTCACTTACATCCTAATCATTGGTCACTAACATCCTAATCATTGGTCACTTACATCCTAATCATTGGTCACTAACATCCTAATCATTGGTCACTAACATCCTAAACATTGGGTCATTGGCATCCTAATCATTGGTCATTAACATCCTAATAATTGGTCATTAGCATCCTAATCATTGGTCACTAACATCCTAATCATTGGTCATTAGCATCCTACTCATTGGTCATTAGCATCCTAATGCTACACAGAACCTGCCATGACTAGAATGATGGGTCATCCTCCCATTCTGATGGGTCCTTGACAAGGTAGTTCATGTTGATTCTGAATGTCTAAAAATGGGACTTGAGGCAGATGTAACAAAATCTGCCAGTTTTGGTAACAACAGCTTCATTTGCATCTAGGTCCACTGTTGCACATGACTGAGGATCATTGTGACCTTCCTCCTTGAGAACAGCTACGATCATCATGTGCAAAGCTGCTGTCAAAAACGTGAAGTCTGGCCAGTTCTTTACTCAGATACCACAGATTTCTGGCTAACGCCTCACTGGTGGCCTTGGCAATGACAAAATCAGAACTCAAGAATTCACTCGCATGGCACAAAAACAGGGACTGAGCAGCAGTGGTTAATATTTTTCAAATCTTATGAAATTTCACCCCTTTTTTTCCTCAAATGGAGCAAAAAAATGAAGAAGCACCTTGGAAAAGCAGAAGTTTGTATTTCGGGACCACCCTAATAAACAACAACAAAACGTGAGGACAACAACATGTCACCATGAGTCTGATGGGTCGCTCCTCGTCGATGTCGATGGGAACGTTGGTGCTCTGGATCCACGTGTTCGTGCACAGGTGTCTCAGTCGCACATACGAGTTCCTGAAACGACACACAGCTCAGGTTTATGTTCTCCAGGTTTGGTTCAGGTTCCACGGACTCTTTTCATGTTCGGAACACGCTGATGATGTCATTACTGATAAGGTGGGCTTTGTATCTCTGATACTTTCTACAGACAGGAAACACAACGCGACCCCTTTACAGGCACTTCCTGTCATTCTGTTTGATGTCAGACAGGAAGTGTCTCACCGCGGCACGAAGGAGTCGTTCTTCTGCAGCGTGGTTGGGTCGAGCTCGAACAGCGAGGCGATGTCGTTCCCGTGGGGCACCACCACCAACTTGTACTTGATCCTTTCGCCCTGAGAGCGCTTGTTGATGCGGCTGCCGTCCATCTGCAGGGAAGTCAAAGGTCAGGGACAGAGGGTCAAAGGTCAGGGATAGAGGGTCAAAGGTCAGGGACAGAGGGTCAAAGGTCAGGGATAGAGGGTCAAAGGTCAGGGACAGAGGGTCAAAGGTCAGGGGGTCAAAGGTCAGGGACAGAGGGTCAAAGGTCAGGACCGGAGGGTCAAAGGTCAGGGGGTCAAAGGTCAGGGACAGAGGGTCAAAGGTCAGGGATAGAGGGTCAAAGGTCAGGGATAGAGGGTCAAAGGTCTGGGACAGAGGGTCAAAGGTCAGGGACAGAGGGTCAAAGGTCAGGGGGTCAAAGGTCAGGGACAGAGGGTCAAAGGTCAGGGACGGAGGGTCAAAGGTCAGGGGGTCAAAGGTCAGGACCAGGAGAGTCAAAGGTCAGGACCAGGAGGGTCAAGGGTCAGGACCAGGAGGGTCAAAGGTCAGAGAGTCAAAGGTCAGGACCAGGAGGGTCAAAGGTCAGAGGGTCAAAGGTCAGGACCAGGAGGGTCAAAGGTCAGGACCAGGAGGGTCAAGGGTCAGGACCAGGAGGGTCAAAGGTCAGAGGGTCAAAGGTCAGGACCAGGAGGGTCAAAGGTCAGAGGGTCAAAGGTCAGGACCAGGAGGGTCAAAGGTCAGGACCAGGAGGGTGACCCCTCCGTTATGAAGCTGACAGAAGAACTCACTGAGGCCGACGGCTCCGGGTTGTCTCCTTTGTACCCCGGGTTCTCCTATAAACAGAACAGTCCAAGAGGAGGAAATCAGACACACCTGAAGTTTGTTTTCATCATCAACACAAACCATGACCCCACCTCCCCCGTGCTTCACAGATACACTCACTATCACTCCTCTAAATCACGTTTTCCTTCATGATTGTGTCTTTATCATATCCAGTTACCTCAGCAGCCAGGTAGTTTCCTGTGGCCAGGTGTTTGAAGCGGTACAGACTGTTCCAGTGCCCCGCCCCCCCACGACACGGGTCATGATGGACAACCTGATGGACCAATCAGAGTTCAGGGGAAAACCTTTGAAATGCTGTTTCTGTAAAAATGCTAAGCTGCTCATTTGACTTGTTTGAGCTTGTGTGTGTGTGTGTGTGTGTGTGTGTGTGTGTGTGTGTGTGTGTGTGTGTGTGTGTGTGT